TATCTAACCAATTATATATAAACTTTTATCTCATTCAAGCAATAAAATTGTTCCAATTATATCTTCTAATAAACTTTTAGCAATGATATTATTTAACTAATTAAAATAAACCTTTTTAATAATGATGTCACCTAACCAACCAAAACATGTCTTTTTAACAATGATGTCCGTTAACTAATCAAAACAAAATTTTTAACCACCGCCAACAAAAACAATGATTTTAGGCCACATCAATAAATAAATCATATTTTATGAACGTCTGTATCATAGTCTAGTTGATCTTTAAAAAAGAATTTGAACGATGATCATTCCACTTAGGGCTCTCAATTTTTGATACGATATGAATCATAAAATTAATGGGTCAAATACAAAATTAATGGATCAGACACAAAATTAAATGAGTTAATAGGTTAAAACGAGTTAACACGCTTAAACACCAAAAAAACTATTGTGTTAGGTTCATGTCAAAATCAGGTTAACCTGATTTTGACATGATTAACCCGTATATTTTAAATAGGTTAACATGATTTGGACACGAACCCGACCCAACCCATTGTAGACCCGTTTATGATAGTATAGTTTACCTATTATGTATGACTGATGTGGTCTTAATGTTATTACTTATTAGTTATTGCTTCTACTATGATAATTAACAATATATTTCATAACATTACTAATATATTTCTTACTTGAATTTTTGGGTTGAAACTTGAATGCATTTTATTTAATTTCATTAATGAAATGTGATATGTTATTTGTAAAAAAATTATTTGAAATTTTGGACGACTGATTGAATGATGTGTTTTATCGCAGTGAACAAGTGTGAAAACATGTTATGTGTGTTAAACAAGTCTGTGTTATTTGTTATAAACAGGTAAAAATAACATGTGTGTTAAACCAAAAATGACATGTTTATTAAACGTATCAAACAGGTCGGATTCGGATAATATGTTTAATCGTCAGTTCAAGTAAGTATTTACACATTTCGACTCAATTATTAAATATGTCAGATTCTGATTTTAGAATTTTTGTCACAAACTCGAAATTAACCCAACATAAAATTACCCAACTCGACACATTTGACACCCTTATCTGCAATTTTTGTGTTCTAGAAAAAGGTGTAAACCATACAAAAAAACAAAGGGCGCTTAGCGACTAAATCATACGTAGAAGACCACCACACACACACACACACACACTCTCTCTCTCTCTCTCTCTCTCTCTCTCTCTCTCTCTCTCTCTCTCTCTCTCTCTCTCTCTCTCTCTCTCTCTCAGACACATTTTTGCATAAGATCATATTATTTTCTGAATGTGTACATCAATGACAATGTACTGTTGACATTACCATAATATTAATTCTACAAAAATTAATTTTTTTCAAAATTAATGTTGAAATTTTTTTTTCTAAAGTCGAATATGTTACAAAAAATATTAAGTAAATTAGTCGTACTATCAATTGAAAATAATATATTAATAAAATTTCACTACAAAAACTTCACCGATTTGTATCTCAAAAAGTGAGTCGAATAATTTTAATTAAATAATGTAAAAACGGTTATTTACAATTATCCTTTTAGGTCTTAAATTATCCTGAGTCAACCCTAAATTGACTTTTTGTAAAGGGAGAGACGATGAGAGATACCCTTGAGACAGTTATTAATTAAGAATTAAGTTATTCAAAAATAGCCAAGGACATAGAGCCAAATGAAATTAGACAAATTGATACTCACAAGCAAGTGGAAAAATAAAAAAACAATTATCCAGGATAAAGTAATTTACGTGGTTCGGCTATTGCCTAAGTCCACGATGACAACAATTGAATATTTTCACTATAGAATAAAGCAGGAGTAAAAGATAGTTATTTTAAACCTCACAAATACTCACTTCAACAAAGGAGGATCACTTTGATATATCACTGCTGTCACTTGTTGCAGAGAAAGAATGAAGAAAATGGGAAATATACTTGTAATTTTGGATGATTTGTTGACGGGGCTTGATTTGGGGACTATAGGAATTCCTCACAATAATTGATGGGACATTTTCGAAATACTCCGAGATGAAGACACGTGTCCTCGGTGTCATTAATCCTTGTTATCGAGATCACGTACCCATCGGGTCACAAGTCCCCTCTCCCCCGAGGTACTGATAATGGGATCGAGTGGCATCCAGTACGTTTTTATGTACCGACACGTACCCTCGGTCTAATATGGTACATCGGTCGCTAGGCCTCCCCCTCTCGACTCCGAGATGTACCTATTCTTCGGCTCCGAGATGTACCTCTTCCTCGGTACCGAGATGTACCCCCCTCATTCAGGANGTGTTTATGCAAATCTTGCTCCATAACCAAATGGTAACCACTATGAACTACAAACGACCCAGACATTGTATAGTGCCAAACCAGAGAATCAACATTGTCATTTAGCTTTGCAAGATCCCAATATCGTCTAGCAGGATCTATCAGATTACTCACCAATATATCAGCTGAAACATTCCGCAGAGGACTAAAAACTTTAAAGGTCAGAGGCCGAGGAATCCACTAGATTTTAATTGAATCTCCATTCCCAACTTGCCAACGCAGACCAGAATGAATTACTTTCCTGGATGCTAAGATACTTCGCCAAGTATATGCCGGACGAGACGCCAATTGACTATCCATAAAAGAAGAAGAGGGAAAATACTTAGCTTTAAGAACTCTTGCTTAAAGAGAATCCGGTTTTTTGATTAATCCTTTTCTATTATAATTTTATCCTATCGCCATTGCCTAAGTCCACAACGACAACAATTGGATATTTTCACTATGGAATAAAACAGGAGTAAAAGATAGTTATTTTAAACCCCACAAGTACTCACTTCAACAAAAGTGGATCACTTTGATATATAACTGCTATCACTTGTTGCAGAGAAAGAATGAAGAAAATGGGAAATATACTTGTAATTTTGGATGATTTGTTGACAGGGCTTGATTTGGGGACTATAGGAATTCATCACAATAATGTTCACAACGGGTGAAAATTTGTTGTCCTGTCTCAAGACCAAGATGTTTGTAGTAAGATGAATGCTCAGAAAAATTTTTCCCATCGAAGTTTTGTCTGAGCCAGATGCATGGACTTTATTCAACAAAATAGCAGGTAATGTTGAGAGTTGCGAGATGTGTTTCCAAGAGTGCGGAGGCTTGCCCATTGCAATTGTTACTGTTGCAGCAGCTTTGAAGGGTAAGAATTATCATGTGTGGACTGATTCACTTCGCAAATTAAGGAATGCAGAGTTGAATGACATTAAAGGCATGCATGCAGAAGTTTATTTAAGGCTGGAGTTGAGTTATAACTTTTTGGAAAGTGAAGAACTCAAAAACTGTTTCTTACTGTGTTGTCTACTCCCAGAAGATCATGATATTCCAGTCGAGTATTTGTTGAGATATGGAATGGGTTTAAGGTGGTTTGGAAATGTTACTAATATAATAGAAGAAAAAGACAGAGCACACACCTTGATTGAAAACCTAAAACCATGTATATCTTATATAATACATCCACTTGGATATGGATAAATAGAAAGAGTTCTTC